TTTTATTTACAATAACAATCCTTTTTTTGTCCAACATGCCTTTCATAATGACTTTCCATACCAACTTAAGTATATTTCAATAGGAAAATGCTTTTAAAAAAAAAGACAAAATATTTAAGCCTAGTGGATTGAGGGAGGTGGAAGATAGTATACTACTCTCTCTATCCAACCACACTTGTTTATAATTGATTTTGCATATTTAAAAAAATTATAAATAAAAAGTAATGTTACTATATCATTCTTTAAATATAATGTCTTAAAATATATAATAGAAAAATAACTATAATTAATAATAAGGATACATTAAAATTAAATATAAAATTATTTACTAATTTTATAAAATAGATAAATATTATTTGATATATCTCAAAAATTAGTATAGACGACAATTATTATTAGACTGAGAGAGTAATAAGTAGACCTAGACCCCTAGTGAATAAGGTCATAACTTACAAAAAAAAATTGTGAGGTTCAGGTGAATTTGGCTCAATAAATTCTCTGACCTTTGGATCAGAAAAAGAGACACTTACTTTCTTCTTTTGATTCATTCACTCACAACCTCACACTCCTTTTCCTACTTGTCTTTTTCCAAACATGCCCATCACTTCCCATTTATGTGGTTGTCAATATATTTGCCCTTTTGCAAAACCTTGATTAATTTATATTGAATAATTCTAAGTTGATGTGCACATTAGTCACTATGCTTTGAGGTGTTATGAATTAGCAATAAGTTAATATATCATAATAATAATAATATATTTAATCTAATCTTATAGAGTATAGAGTGAGTTTTAAAATGTTATCTATGTGAGGTGGAGAAATTGTTTTCGATAGATTCATGACTTAAAATAAAAATAATTTGGAAAAGACGTAATGTATATAATTAAATAAGATATGATATTTTAAATATTTTCTTTCCTTTTCTTTTTTTCAATTTGTTTGACTTATTGATTTGATACAAAGTTTGAATTTTGTGATCTTAATTTTTTTTAAAAATTAAATACATCAAAATATTCTTTAAATTTGTGATTTTAAACATGTCATCAAAATTGGTATTATTGAATGAATAGAATGGGCTGGGTCGGTTGTGGGCTGAGATTTGGAGAAAAGAATTGGGCCTGCTGGGTTAGTCTTTCGTGAGAAAGGCCCAAAACAAAGGTCTTAAGGATGAGGTAATAAAGTGGCTAATATTGCAATTGAACAATAGTCAAACGAGTTTCAATTGTAGCCAATTGGTATTAAGAAAATAGCCAATTGAAAATATTACGAATTTTATAAAAACTAATTCTTTTAAATTGTTTGAAATTGAAGAAGCTTGATGATTAATTCATATTGTGGAGGATCAAAATTAGGTGTCAATAATCACGCACTACAGGGCCCATTTGAGAGTGGCGCTCCCAACATGATTTTCTCCATACCCAGAATTCAAACCCGAGACCTCTAGTTAAAGGTGAAACACTCTCACCAATGCACCACAACCCATGTTGGTGCACAATATATACTTTACTACAAAGGAAACTTATACAATAGTTGATATGCTTGTGTGTAATCCAAAAATATATGATGATTTGTCTATTATAATAGCATTGATGAATGAAGTACTTTATTCATTTCGATTTATATTAAACATTGGTATTGTTTTTGTATATCTTCATATGGAAAAAAAGTCAACACTTATAATTCCTTTTTATGATATTATTAATAATTGTGATAGAAGTGTACAGCGTCGCTTTGGCCGAGTGGTTAAGGCGCTTGCCTGCTAAGTAAGTGGGGTTTCCCCGCGTGAGTTCGAATCTCACAGGCGACGTTGCAATTTTTTGGTCTACCTTCCTGTCATTTGTACTGGATTAATTAATCAAATAAAACCGTATATTTGCATCAATCAAAAGCCCGTTTAGCCATGCATTACAAAACTATTTGTTCCGAGAAGACGAGCCAACATTGTTACTTTGAGTCATTTGTTGGTCAATATCTTCCGCAACTATATTTTTATGCTCATAGACAATAAATATTTCATCACTTTAACAAGTGGTTGGTGTGAGATAAAATGATTATATGTTGGTGAGAATAATAATTTTTTTGTCGGTGAGAATAATAATTTTTTTGTCGGTGAGAATAATAATTTTTAAAAAGTAATGATGTGATTAAAAATTTTATTTACTTATGAAATAAATGGTTAGTAGATATAAATGTGGGGTTGTTTTAACAAAATATAAACTGGTGGATCAATTTTTGTATTAAAATATCTCAAATCATGATATGGAATTGTAATTCCATATCATGGTTTTTGGAGAATATGAAATCACATCTCATGATATGGAATCATGAGATGGAATCAGCGTAAAACCGCATGGTCAAACGCTGATTCCATCTCACGATACCATACCGTGATATGGTATCGCATGGCCAAACGCCTACTAAGAATGGTTTAGCATTGATTTGCTAACTTAATCAATCCAAAAACAAAATTCAAGGAAATATCAATTCAGACTCTTTAAATATGACTTTAAAAGACAGGTTTAATTTGTAGATGACAAAAACAATACCAAAGAGCACAAATAATTTATAGACAACTATCAATTTATGAACTCAGGAAGGTCAATATCACCACAAAATCTAAGCAAATGGACAATGATTTGGCTAACACCACAAGAATATATATCAGGCCGGAGGAAATTAAGCATTTGAGCTTACAACTTTCGAAACTAAATCAACACATTATTAACAAGATCAGGGAAGCAAAATTGAGTCCAAATGAATTTACCAAACAGCAGATAGTATGATAATAGATTAAATTATCCTAAATTAAAATACTAAAAAATTGCAGACAAAAGTATGATTCTTGCAAACAAATTAAAAGCACCAAGTAAAATATCTATGATACTCGGACTCTTCAAGAATATAGTAGAGAGTGTGTGTCAAATCCTCCAAAAGTAGTGTATTTTGAAGGGCCTGATACGAGTTCAACAACAATTTTGGAAAGTCACAACAACATATATAGTTCCCCATCTGATGAAATGGAAAGTAAAGGTCCAACATTCTCACCTAAAAGCACAAGAAATAGCTACAAAATGTGCTAAAAAAGTCACAAACAAAATTGAGGACAATAACTAAGGAACCCAAGAATTATAAACCACATGATCGTACCATAATATCTACCACCAATGGAAACAATTCAATCATAAAACACCAAATAAAAAATTGCTGAGATCAAATGAAAAAGTTCATACCTATCATCGTCAACCTTTTGCACCTATTTATTGGGTATTTGTACTTCTCCTCTTCACATGTATGAACCTTCTTAGTGTCACTTCTCCTATCTCGTCCATCATTGAGGTCACTCCAATCTTGCTCCGTATATTCTGGTTTTTAATCCTGTCTCTTAGTGTGCTCACACATCTACCTAAGCATTCCCATTTTTGTTGTAGTTTCTGGACGTATATGTTCTTGATTGATCAAACTCTATCACGTATAATGTAGTTAATCTAACAATCATTATACACAACCTAACTATACTTATGATAGTATATTCTTATCACATAAGACACCGGGTGCGAGACTTCATTTATCTCGCTCTAATATGTTGTGTGACATCGTCCTCGATTTCCCATTTTCTTGAATTATTGATCCAAGATACTTGAAGCTTCCTCTCCTAAGAATGAGTTGTGTGTCAATTCTCACTCCCACATCCGTCTTAGGTGATGTGTCACTAAACTTGCACTCGATTAAGGAGTCTTCATATACTTTGATTTTTGTCCTACTAAGACTCTAGGGCATGTTTACAAACTTCTAGCTATCACTAATTTTATTGCATGTCTCGTTAATTAGTACTATGTCATAAAAAAATAACCCACATCATAGTACATCCCCTTAAATATGTCGTGTCAATTCATACATTACCAAGGTAAATAAAAATATGATAAGAGCGATTTCTGCAACCCTACACGACTGTGAAGTATTCTGAGTTTCCTTCCACTATTCTCACTCAGATTTTAACTCCATTATACATGTTCTTAAACATTCGAATATATACCACATATATAACTCTAGATTCTGAACATCTTTCATAAAACCTCCTTTGGTTTTATTCAAACTAAAAGAATTCTCAAACTACCAAAAAAAACTAAAAAGTCAAAGGGTTTTTATTCTAATTGTTTTGCCTCATTTCATAATCCATTTTCCTTGTCGTGTACTAATAACAAATACTTTGTGGCCTTTTTTTTTTATTGCATAGCGCAATTCTACAAAAGCAAGAACATCAACCTTTGCTCTTCTTTATTTGATACTTCATTTTCTTCAAGTTTTCCTTGTGCTATCTAAATATTTCCAAGTCGAGGAAACATAAAGATAAAAAGCCTAGGCTAAATAAACAAAATAATGAAAACTCTAAATACAAATCTAAATAATTAATTATCAACTTCAAATTTCTATTTGAACAACTTCTTACTATTATTGATATGTTTGAATTATCTCTAAACAAAAGTAGTTTCATCAATTTCGACATTGCTTATTCATAGGGTTTTATAAGTTCAAGACAAGTCGCTGTGTTTAAATTGATAGATATATGCTTCCCTTAGGTAGCAACACTAATGCATCTAGATTCAAGTTTGAGTGGCAATATACGATCCGATAAAAAGATCAATAAATCTTATAATGAGTTAATTTTCATTTTTCTAAAAAAAATTTATAATGAAAAAGGACTCTTATAATTTTCTTTATGATATTAGAATTTCTTTTGGTATCAGTTTAATGTATATATTCAAGAGAAGCTATTTTTTTTTAAAAACAACTAATCTATTTGTATTTGTGGTTTGTTTTCTAATGTTAAGTTTCCAGTATTTTTTTTGTATTATATTCCTTTTTGTTTTATGAACTACTAGTATACGTACCCGCACGTTGCCCAACTAATATTTAATATAATTATTATTTTAAATTATCTTAGATTGTCATATCTCGTTCTAACATGTTAAATTCTTTTAATTGTGATACAAGTGCATAGCGTCGCTTTGGCCGAGTGGTTAAGGCGCTTGCCTGCTAAGTAAGTGGGGTTTCCCTGCGTGAGTTCGAATCTCACAGGCGACGGTACAATTTTTTTGGTCTACCTTTGTTTAACTTTCTAGTTTTTAATCTTGTCTCTCCTAGTGTGCTTATACATCTATTTAAGCATTCTTATACGTATAAGTTCTTGATTGATCAAACTCTACCCTGGATAATGTAGTTAGTCTAACAATCATTATACACAACCTATATTTACTTTTGGTGGTATATGCTTATCACATAAGACACTAGGTGCGGGCCTTCATTTCATTTATCTCGCTCTAAAAAGTTGTGTGACATTGTCCTCGATCTCCCATTTTCTTGAAGTATTGATCCAAGATACTTGAAGCTTCCTCTCCTAAGAATGAGTTGTGTGTCAATTCTCACTCCCACATCCGCCTTAGGTGATGCATCACTAAACTTGCACTCTATTAAGGAGTCCTCATCTACTTTGTTTTTCTCCTTCTAAGACTCTTGAGCATGTCCCCAAACTTCTAGCTATCATAAGTTTTATTGCATGTTTCTTCAATTAATACTATGTTATAAAAAAAAATAACATACATCATAGTACACCCCCTTAAATATGCCGTGCTAATTCATACATTACCAAGATAAACGTGATAAGTGCCGATTCTTGCAACCCCGTCTCGACTGCAAAGTATTCTAAGTTTCCTTTCACTATTCTCACTCAGGTTTTGGCTCCATTATATATGTTCTTAGTCATTCTAATGTATACCACATATATAACTCTAAATTCTGAACATCTTTCATAAAACCTCCTTTAATTTTATTCAAACTAAAAAATTCTCAAACTAAAAAGTCAAAGGGGTTTTTATTCTAGTTATTTAATCTCATTTTATAATCCTTTATCTTTGTCGTGTACTAATGACAAATACTTTGTGTCCTTTTTTTAATTGCATAGTGCAATTCTACAAAATCTAGAACATTATCCTCCAACCTTTGCTTTTCTTCTTTATTTGATACTTCATTTTCTTCGACTTCAAACTTCTATTTGAACAACTTTTTACTATTATTGATCTGTTTGAATTATTTCTAAATAAAAATAGTTTCATCATTCTCGACATTGCTTATTCATAGGGTATTATAAGGCCCAAGACATGTCACTCTGTTTAATTAAATTGATAGATATGCTTCCCTTAAGTAGCAACACTAACGCATCTCGATTCAAATTTAAGTGGCAATATACAATCTGATAAAAAAGATAAATAGATCTTATAATGAATTTATTTTTTATTTTGGAATTATATAATTAAGGACTTATAATTTTGTTTATGAGATTAGAATTTCTTTTGATATCACTTTCATGTATATATTCAGGAGCCGCTATATATTCCCAAAAAAAAAAAACTAATTTATTTATATTTGTGGTTTGTTTTCTAATGTTAAGTTTTCAGTTTTTTTTTTTTTTTTATATATTTTATATTATCGTCCTTTTTGTTTTATGAACTATTAGGAACTAGAGTATCATTTATATAACTCTAATTAAGTATGTTCCTTCATAGTCATGTTAATTTATCTATACGTTCACTTTTTCAATAAGATTTTTTTTTCCTTTTGTAATGTTGTGCAAAAGTTAGCACAAACTTGGGCTTGTCAGCAGGTTCAACAGTATTGTGCATCTTGATTCTTAACAATAAATTAAAGGGAAAATTAAGTGGATAAGCAAACATATACTAGTTAATTAATTAACATAACTATAGTTTTCATTACTTGTTATTCGCAACTTAATTTTCGCTATAATTATGTGCGTCTGTCTCTTCTCTTATACATATACATTATACAAATACATACATATATACATATACAATTATATGACAGATATACAAATACAATTTGTCTCTCTCCACTCTGTCCTCTCTGCCCTCTCTCGCTCACCTCTCTCCTCCCTATCCCAATCTCGATCGCTTCTCTCCTTCCTCTACCAATCTCGCTCGCCTCTCTCCACTCTCTCCCCTCTCTCACTCGCCTCTCTCCACTCTCTCCCCTCCCTCACTCTCCTCTCTCCTCATCTTGCTTGCCTCTCTCCTCCCTCTAACATGTAGCCACGAATCGTAATTAGCAAATTATAGCTATAGAGCCTAATTAAGTTTATTTTTGTGGCTATTTGCGAAATTTCCTCTAAATTAAAATTATAAAGTTTCCCACTTTTTCAGTGAGGATTTGTTTCTCATCATGCATTTTCCTAGTGAATTGGTTCAGTGAAAAATGAGTATAAAAATCATGTTCTCTAACACATAAATGTCCCACTGATTCACGGTGAAAAAAATCATTGTTCCTAATAATGTATGGTATACATCAGTTGTGGATAACTAAGGCAAGATATTTATTAGGACCTTTTCAGATCAATTAAGAGACTTTTTTTTAAAAAGAATCAAATGGACTTAATGAGCTAAATCTAAATAGATTCAGACCTTAAAACCAAACAGACTTAAGGGACTGAATCTGAATGATTAAGATTCAGATCTTCATTAAGTGCAAACAAATGAGACCTTAGATTCAATTCTCCAACTTTATTTTTTAATTAATTTTCTTCAATAGTTATTGTGCATTTTAATTCTTCATTACAATAAACTCAAAATAAAATAAAATCTTTTATGCAGTACCATTACTCGAGACTTAAACAAAGAATCTGTTTGGACTATTACTAAACCTTCTTAATTGCAAGTTGGGAAATTGTTGTAAGTTGCAAAAAAATCAATGAAAGTGAAAGCTACATGACAAATGCCATGTGCTATCGCGCAAAATAAATAAATATTTACACTATCAAATCACCTAAAAATTTAATAATATTAATAATAAGATATTAATTTAAAAATTAATCAGTGAAAATGGAAGCAAAAGCTTCTCAAGAGACGTACCATGCATGCATATGACTTCTCAATTTAATTCTTTGTTTGGTGGGTAAAACGAATCCTTCAAGAATTATTATTTTTTTCCGATCATTAAAGTAGTCCATCAAATCCTCTAACTTAAAATAATTAAAATAAAGATATGATTCTCTCGTCTTTTATTTCGACTTCTTATTTGAAATACACGTACACTTTAGGTGATTAAGACTTCTTAAGGAAACTATGCATATTTGTGGCCTCGAAATTTCATTACCAACTCAATTATTATAATGAATAAAGTTTGTTGAGAAAAAGATAAAAGTTTATTAGTATCAAATATAGTAATTTTGTAACTTAGACTGATACAAATAAATAAATTACCCTTCGGGGTGGCCCAGTAGTTTGGACTTGGGACTTCCATGTTCGAGGTCTCAAGTTCGAAACTCCTTGCCAGCGAAAGCAAGGAATTTGCCTTCTGGGTCGAGCTCGTCGCACCGAGCTTACCTAGTGCGGGTTACCTCTCTTATGTGGTTTGCAAGCTATTGCATAGGAGCGAGGATTTTACCTTGTGCGCACCCAAAGGATAGCGACTGCGAGTTTTCCTTGTCATAAAAAATAAATAAAAATTCAATATATATTTTTTCCCTTTTTTTTTGGGGAGTGACAAAGAAATGGGGAGAAGATGGTGATTAATTACTTTACATTTTTTATTATCAGAGACAATTCAAAATTTAAAATATATGAGTTCTATTATAATTCCAAGACAATATTATATATTATATTATATGTGAAAACCTTTAAAATTAAAAGTGTTAAATAAATTTAAAATCACGAAAACTCTCGTAGCTTGAGGCATGTCAAATTATATACCATCCTTAAGAATATTTTATCCAAGATAGACGTATTCCTTAAAATTCAACAAACTATTCTAGTGTAAGAAGAATAAATCTCAACTCTATAGTAAAAAAATATGTCAAATTAATTAATTGTCATAGGTTACTAAGGTTATGACTAATTAATTGTCATAAGGTACAAAAATTTAAATGACTAGTTGAATTTTTTTTGTATGTTTAATTGCAATTTATTTTGATTGGATCATATTGATTTTCAAGAAAATATGAGCTGGAATATAATTTTGGAAGTGTCTAGAGTTGATTTGAGACGATTTTTAGATTGAAGATTTCATCCATATATTCCCCATGTATACATCATCATGTATATTAGTGTATATTATCCTATATACGTTTGTCTCCTATATATATATTCAAAAAAACACTTATGTGATATGGGTACACCACTGAAAAGGTAGAAAAAATAATGTATTAAGCGTGAATATATTGATCTGTATTTTTAAAAATAATTAGCTCAACATTCAACTAAGTGCACTATTAAACCCTTTTGAAGTATGATTATCAACCTATAATACTAGTTCAATTCTAAACAATATATACACAATATACATAGTTTTGTAGAAGACCATAGAACCATAATTTGGGCTTAAATCCGTCCCAATATACAACGTAATATACACATATTGGAGTGACACATTTTAGGTTTGAATTTTGACTCCAATCTAATAAAAATCTCTTCCAATATTGCTTAATTTTTTTTAATATAGCTTCGTCTAGGTTTTTCAAAATGATCATTATAGTTTTAGATTCGAATTTAGTTGTGATTTCAAAATTGAAGTTTTGGTGAGACTTTGCATTGATGAATTGAGAGATTTTGTTGTTGTATTATTACGAAATTCAATTGTTTGAGAGACATTACTAAAAAAATATTAGTTTTTCACTAAAATTTTCACTTGAAACATGTTTAGTGGTTATTTCTATAAATATTTTGATTGTAATATTGGTGAAACAAAGAAAAAAAAGATACTAATTTTATCATACAGTAAAATTAGAAAGTTTTCCACTATTTCAGTGAGAATTTGTTTCTAATATTCATGTATTTTCGAAGTGAGTTGATTCGACGAAAAATGAGTGACAAATAATGTTCTTTAACTTAACACACATATCCCACTTATTCACGATAAGAAAAATCTTCGTTACTAATAGTGTTTGATGTACACCAATTGTGAATAACTACGGGAAGGTATTTATTGGGACTCTATACAAGAGGTGTATAATTACACCATGCTTGTAAACGTATAACTCAACAATTATCCAAGTTTTTTTTTTTTTAAAAAAAAAAAGG